TCTTCTTATAAGTTTTCCATGAAATTCACACACTCGAAACATTTCCCTAGACATTGTAAGTGTAGAGGAGGAGAAAAAAAATCAATTTAATTCTTATAAATATGACATGAATGACTGATTGAAATATGTTCGTTCATTTGAAATGCAATCTGGTATTGTTGCCAGTTAGTGTTTTCCTTTTCTTCTTTTTTTTTTTTTTTTATTTTTGTTATTATTTTTCCTTTTGCTTTGTAATGTATTATAATGACAATAACAACAAAAATGCAATCATATAAAACTGATAATAAAACCCATAATAAGAGAGAAAAGCAGAGAGAAAAAGAAGAAGATGAAAACGATAATATTTCTTAGCTGTATATGGTGTATACAAAGATAGTTTACCTGTCCATGAAACGGAAGCGGAAATAAAATTATAACTTAAGGGTATGAGCATACGGAGGAGAATTTCTAAACGGAGAAAAAAAAAGAAAGCAAGAATTGTAATTGAATTATAACCCACAACATTGTGTAGTATTTGTTACAATAAGCGGATCATGGACGAGAAAAATGCACCACAATATAGGGTAATATTGATTGTTTAATGATTCAACCCAAAGCAAAGCAAATGATTTTTTTAAAAACATTTCTGAAAAAAAATTTCAATATTTCTTTGATTTCATTTTCATTTTTTTCCCCCTTTTTTCTTTGCTATTATTATTAAAAAAAAAAAAAAAAAAAAAAAATTTAAATCAAAATTTTATAAAGAATAGTAAGAAAAATGAAATCAACTTAAGCTAATTAAAAAAAATAAGTAACAAATTTAATTTGCGAACTATTTGAACGCAAACACACGCATGCATACACAAAATTGTGGATTTGTGCTCACATGCACAATCATATGCACACACATACTTAGATATTGCAAATTTTATGCAATGTAAACAGTTCTTCGCAAATTAAAAACTCCACTGAAGCAAGAATATTTTTCCATTTTTCATATACGTATGCAAGACTATGCTCTCTAGCTCGTATAATAATCAAAAATATAACAAAATTTTCTATTTTTAAATTTTTTTTTATTTTTTTCCCCCCCCCCCTTTACTTGGTTATGGAATCTTATTAGCGCATCTATAACTTGTATGAATATAGGTTTCATATTCATTATACCTCTTCATAGCGTATGTATATTTGTATGTATATGATACATGCATACACGCATACATACATATGTATATAAATGGCGTAAGCCATGATTACGCCAGACAGACATCCTTATATACATGTTTATATTTTTGTTTGGACGACTATACCTACAAATTAATTATGTGTAGATGGTTTCAAACGCATCCTATTTATGGGCGTTTATATGTGCATGGGTATATTCATACGCATATAAAATTCTCTGCAAGCGATTACGTTTATTATTGTGATTACATTATTATGCAATATGTATGCTTTAATGTGTGCGTAATCGTGTGCATGCGACCATTTGTGAAATGAAACCCCAAAACTACATATTACATACTATAGAGACATTCTGCACATATTACATACATATATACGTATATTCGTAATTTGTAATTTGTATGTCCAATTGTGATGTTTGTAAGCATATACGAGATATATATGTGGAACAATCAATTTGTGGTCTTTTGTTGCAAATTATTAACTGAAATTGCTCGATAGTTTTTCCTTTTTGCCAAACGCACGCAAAGTATTGAAAAACTTTAATTATCGATGTTCAATCGGGCGGACATAAATGCAACTTTTATTAAGCATTTTTCTATTTGCATTGAAGCCCATTTTAAAATGAAACTCAACTACTTATGTAAAATCAGTAAACAATTTCTTTCAATTTACATAAACTATGACATAACTTAAAATTAGAATATAATCCGTTGTACGAGATGGCATTCGATTTTAATTGAAAAGAGCAAACAGAGTTTGTTAAATCATACGCATGATCTAAAGATTTGGTATTTTTATATTTTAACGTGTTCTCATGCAACAACATTAATTAATAAATCAAAATGACGGCCTCAATAAAACAACCTATAGACTAATCGTCAGAATTCTATGAAATTTTGCTACCTCTCGGTTGAGGGCTGCTACTCTCCTGAAATCATATCCATCTGTCAACAGCGTTCCCGTATATAGCCCAAACCGGAAACTTATTGAGTTCTTTGCATAATGCTTTCGTATAACCTTTTTTTCGAAATCAAGCTTTATATGGGGAATGGTCGAAAACGTGCTTCCACCCAAACCACTTTCAATAGCTTTTATGCTTGGGCAGGTGTACCAATTTTCATCAAAATATCTCAAAAAGACGAAAAGACAAGCTTAGATCAACATCTGTGCCTCAATCCCAGGAATTATTGATCGATATGCTGTACTACGACTTTGGTTCATGCTTTGTTAGAACTTTTGCGTATCGTTAAGACCCCAAATAAAATTGACTTTATTAGTATTTATAACAAGAAAGAAACATTATAATACGGCAAGGCCGACACTTACATACCCTACACCAATTTATTTATAAAATCGTGGTTTATTTTTGTAATAGGATGCCAAAAAATGCTCTACTTCTATATATAGGCGAATCTTTCATTAGAGCCCCATTGTGGAACGGGACCCAATATTTTCGCATTCATTTGATCTGTCAAAATATTATTTATCGACAAATATTATAAAGAGGAATTTTTTTTTCAAAACTGGGAATGATCGGGAAAGTGTTTCGATTCGCGCGTTTTTTATAGTGTGCATCCTTCGACCAAACCGGATCACTACACTGAACTTCACAAATATATCTCGAAAATTGCGACTTGTAAGTCGAAACTCAACAGATCAATACTTAAACGCTGATTTTGAATCGATTGGCGTAATGCAAATCCTTCTAAATGTTACGTACATTCGCGCAAACTTAATATGTCATCACTGAAAGTGAAAGTGGTGTAGGTATGACCCGCCACAAAGACTTTTCTATTTTTGTATCAATTATCCAATCAACCAATTAATAATAATTTGTAAAATTTAATAATTCTTTCAGTTTGCGGTTAACTAAACGCACACGAACAGTTGTACGGCTACAAATAAAGGGCTTCTTAAATTCTCGCTAAAACGCTCTGTATGCACGCCAACTAATACCTATGTAGTGAGATGCAATAATAACATAACATATAATCATATAGTCAGCTCACACCGAATCTTTCAATATCCTTCACTGCTTTGTTTTTGTTATTCCCTAAAAAATTCGACGATTTTGTTCATGTCAGGTAACAACAATGAACAGATTAGAATCATATAACAAAATAAAATAAAATGCGTAGAGAAATAGTACAAATTATCCAATGTAGACGTGCTTAGCCGCCATGAATCATTAAATGCTATGGGATTTACAATATGAACATATTTTTATTGAGGTGTGTACCTAGTTTAAATTTACGGTATTAAATACTTCTAATATATGAATAAAATAAACGGTCACAATATTTTTTCCAAAATGTCTACTTAGCCTATTTAGAGTGTAGATTCGCAAAAAGGGCCCTTATCCAATATCACGGTGAGAAACTTCAAAAAAAAAATTAAGCTATAGCGGTCCAAATAATTCATCGAAAAGTTCGATCGGTTAGACTTGCATTGACTAACGATAAAGCGAAATTAGCACTCGCTAATAGCACCTTGCTAATCATACTAGGGAATATTGTAAGACTTCCCTAGTAAATCGAACATTAAATATTGCCCATGTGATCTCATAACACACCCGTTTAAACTCGTATCATCTTATATATTATTCTTGTAAAGAATAATAGCAGAGCTTCTTAGAATGGAATATAGATTTGGTTTGATCTTGATTTTTGTTGGACTGGGATTTTTTAAATGAAAGTATTATATCACGCAATGATAACCAATTTTTTCAAGTTTACCGATTCACTGAGAGCGTGTTTGCCGATCGCGATTACGGTCGTAGATAAGTAATTGCTATTCAACAACAACTAACATTATATTAGTGGGGAGCTGGAGTATTTCAGTTTAAGAGCGGAAATAATCCAACCACAAAAAACAATCCAAAGAATTCTGTTAACCGCAATGAAAAATTACCAGATAAGTAGTGAATAGTGAGACTTTCGCTTCTCATTGACGCACTGCAATATCTTATAGTCGATGATGAATGGACAGATCGCTGATGATACCGTGACAACGTTGATATAGAAAATAAAACAATTCACTTACAATTGAAAAAAATAAGCTAAGAGTTATTTATAAACGCTTAACACTGAAAAATCTGCGTAGATAAGTAAGATGTTACAAGTTTTTATTGGATGTTACAAGTGGAACGATAAATGCCTATTACATTTCAAAATTACGAAAACATCTCAGAAATCTGTTCGGCAATAGCCAGAGTACAAAACCAATTAAGTACAAATAAAAAGAAAAACTGTAAATATGGAAAGGCAAATAAAATGTGTGTCAGACCACAATTAGCCCCAAAGAGTAATGGAATGAATTTGAAATTGTGGTCAAACAGGTTTTATTTTGCTTCTTTTTCAAGCGACTACGAAAATGATAATCAAAACAAACGCAAATAATGTTAGGTAAAAAAAATAAATAAATAAAAAATAAAAATAAAAATATTTGTTAAAAAGGCATATTAAGTAAGAAGGTCAGTGAGATAATTAATCTCACCTACTGAACTGAGAGTAAGAACTCTTTGCATCGACTCAAGAAAGTATGAATGATAAATAAATGCATATGAAATATGAAAATATATTTTTGTATTTGTAATAAATAACTAAGAATTTTCCAATAATGCATTTTAAGAACACACCGTGATCTCACTTCACTTAAACCATATCACCTCGTATCGCATCATTTATTTCGGTGTGCGAATTATGTGAGAAATATGAAGAAGAAAAGCTTTTTTCTTAAACTTTTTACACATACATATATGCGAAATATATATATATATATATATATATTCCAAACAATGCAATTTTTAAATGTTTTCATTTCGTTCACGAAACAAATTTTGTTTGTGCTTTACACTGCCGCTTATTAAGTGTGTTTACGTTTTCTAATATTTTGCTCTGTTCATAAAGTTAGTCGATCGTGAACATTGTAACAGTTAAGAGTGTGATATTTAACCGAAGTGTTTAAAAGAAGTAAAAAGTTAAAAAAAAAAAAAAAAAAAAAAAAAAAAACGAAAACATGAATAAAAATATTGTTGCTTGCTTCTCTCTCTTGATTTTATGCCTTATGCATGGTGGTGAGTGATTTTTAACAAAAATATTTCAATAATTTTTTTTCAAATCAATTATTTTTACACATGTAATAATAAAGGTATTTTTACGGTTGAAAGGCAATGTTCCACAAGAATACTATATAGATTGACTATGTGATTAAGAAATCATAACCAATTTGTTATTTATTCGATTTGATTACTTCGGATAAAACCGATTGTAGAATAAACCAAAATTCGCTACGCTATTGCTTATCATATTTTGATCTAAACTCTTTCGTAAACAACGAGATGACAGCACTTTATAAATATGTATACAAAGTATAAATAGTTTAGTAATTCTTTTCCGTTACAACTGCGAAAACAATTTAAAACATTTTCCAGTTAATCGTCAATACAATATTATATGCAATCAAAAGTAAGGCAAAGTTTAACCCTTCACTTAATTTTGAAGCGTCGATTGAAGCTTTGATTTAATGGTCATCAACCAAAACGGTTGAATTATTCAAAAAATTAAACTATATATGTATGTAAAATTGAAAAAAAAAAATCATTTTCCAGGAAAATATAAGCTTCCGTTCCAGAAAAGTGCAAGCGAGAGCTTTAGTGATTTCGCTACGATTTACCTTTCGCAATTAAATATTCAAACGTAACGTTTTACTTAACAACACTTAGTCATACGGAATCATTATACTCGTTACTACTTTGATGAAAAGAAAGAATTATTTAAACAATATCTGATCATTAGAAAATGTTTGCATAATAATTGATAAATTTAATAAACGATCAATTAACAAAACAAACAAATGTCTTGGCGACGTGAAGAAATGTTAAGACGCTTACGTCTGTATTAAAGGCAAATAAATCAAATGGAATTTAAAGACACAAAAAAAAGCAAATAAAATATAAGAAATATGCCGATACATTCATCTCTTTTCCCTCTTTTCTAACCTTGTTTATATTTAGCGTTAATAATACTTTATTTTTAAAATATTCCTACATATAATTACATACATGTATATAAATATTGACAATAAAAAATTTCACACATTTCTCTGAAACGCAAAAACTGTTTCTCATACCCATTGCCCCGAGAGTGTATTAATGAAATTTGCATATTCTTAATCGGAGTACATTTCAAACTGGATTTCATGTAATTGTTGTATTTAAGTTGCCTTGAATGTCTGCCAATTTAAACTAAGTGTGTGAGATGAGTTCCTTACCTTAAAGTTATTTTTTACTTCTTTTCTATATATCTCACGCATATTAGCAGAATTAGTTAAACATATTTTATCCAAAATGAACAAATAAGTTTGAAAAATGTTGAAAACAAATTACTTCACTGCTATTTCTTGTCAACAAATGTTCATTTAAGCAAGCAATTAGATATCATCATCAGCTTGAAGATAAGGTTTAAAAGCGAAGTTCTACTGGCCTGCAGTAAATTTGCGAGAAACTCTATTTCATTCTAGCAAGAAACTAGTATTAACACTATAAGGGGCCACGGTTCACCACCGTACAGCTATTTATATAAAAAATTTTGGACGTTTGGAAGTCATATGCATTCGTCCTTGCTCCAAAACGCATCACATGCCAAATTTCATTACACTACCTCAGAAACTGCACCCTGCACGCACAAGAGAACAAGGCGGACAGGTGGACAGACTAGCTTAAATCGATTCAAAAAGTCAATTTGAATGAAAGCCGCCTCTGTCACAAGTCTTTTTGGATGTCCACACGAATTTAATATGCCCTTAAATATCACGTAGGGTGTAGGGTGCAAAAAACATTTTCTTATAATTCAAAGCTTTTGTTTGTTGTTGTTTCTCATTACTAAATACAACAAACGATGGGTGTTGAAAATTCAACTAAAACTGAACCAAATTATTCTCTCACATTTATATAAAATAGAGTTATTTGATGGACTTACGTCACACACCTTATGTTAAATTCTCCAGATTGGGTATTAAAAAGATGGTGGAAATAGCAGCGAAAAAAATGTTAAGCGTTTTACAAACTGCAAATTATTGCAAAATTTTTTGTTTACTTTGTTGCTTTACTAGCCTATAAATCTTCCCCATTTATAGGGGAAAAATATTGAAATAAAAACAGCCATCTATTTACTTTTTAATGGTTTTCGAAGAAAACTGTTAAGAGATGAAACATTTGTTCCCTTACCTTTCACCGAATACTGCATTTAAAAGGGTATACGCTCCTGCATTGAAATTTCTTGATGTTAGATCTACTAAATACTTATAACCTAACCTAAGAATATTCGTTAAGGTCGCATCAGGTGTGGACAAATTCGTAATCACCATGGATTGCAAAGTCGAATATCGTCTGAAGCCGGTTTTCAACCAAAACTTATTTTGAAAAATTTGTATTTAATTTTAGAATATTTCCTCACGTAATTGGCGAAGCCAAAGTCGGTTTAATCAATAAATCTATAGAAGAATCACACATCAGCCGTTTCAGATTCTGAACTCAAATATTTTTTCTTTAGAGCGTTAATTTTCAATTTCTACAGACAGACAATTGGCAAAAAGTAGTAGATAAACAGGCTTACGACTTACTTTCGGGCAATTATCGTAACGATGCTGTCATCAGTATTACTTCATTTTTCCTTCGGAATAGTAACAAAAATAAAAATTAATATTAAATAATAGTTATGTACACAATTTCAAACATTATATAGTAATATTATTTTGCTTCTATGATTTAGTAGTAGAAGATCTTCACGTCACTTTACTATCATAGGCCATGTATCTGCATTCATATACATTATTTATGCACAAGTTCGACTATATACTAACCACACAACTAATTTTCTGGGCTTTTTTGATCAACGAAATATTCAGGATTTCAAGAGAAATCCCAAAGTTGGTTCATTTAAACTATTTTCCATCATGAGCCCGTATTTCTTCCATCTATTCGACAAAATATGAATTTCATAGGGGAAGACAAACTGACGTTTGGAAATCTGCACAAGATGTTGTATTTTATGTGGGGGAAATGGAAGCCTTACTTGAACAGGCAAGAAGTCATCTATTATAACTAGCATCAATTAGAAGTAGTAACGTCTACCGATAATAGCGGTGAGGGCAGCATATTCCAGATTAGTGCTGCTGACGTTGCCTGAGCGAGTTTTTTCCTAAGAGACTGAGATTTGTCTAACAAATAAGTGCGTCAACAGGATCCCTCAAAAGTCCCACCCACTCGTCCTGGAATCTCTCACGGCCCTTATCATTCTTTAGTCAAAGTGCCCCTTTTTGAAGTCTCTCTCATCGGGCCTGACGTTTCCACTTTTAACACAAACGTACACAACACAACACAAAACACTATTTCTTTTTTGCATTCCTCTCTATCTTAAACTCTTCCTAACCCCCAATGCGCCTGCATCGATAGGGCTTATGCCCTAACTGAGTACACAAAACTCACGATGTTAAGCTTTCGGCGCATTGCTTTTCGACCCTTTTGTGTCAGTTTTGTTTTGTTCGTAAAGATTTTTTTCTTTATTGGAAGAAACCGTAATAAATTACAACCATTTTACAATGCAGATATTTGTTGACGGAAACATGAATATAACAAATGTTTTTATCTACATTGTCTACAATGTAAAAAATATTGTAAAATGCGTTCGTTATGTTAAAAAATTCTTGCATAATTTCAATAATCAAATATTCAGCTTTGGTTTGTGCTTTTTAATTTTTAAATATATTAGCGAATGCCATCAAGTGTTATCAGTGCAAATCGCTAACGGATCCCAATTGTGGTAAAAATGTGATTGATGCCAATTCCAATATAAGACAAGTGGATTGTGATTATGTTGCAAAACCCAATTCAATGGAACAATTTATGCCAGTAACTAAATGCAATAAAGTTATTACCAGCGGTAAGTGTAGTTAGTTAATCTACCAAGAAGTAATCATAAAGAAAAAAAAAAAACAAAAAAAAATTATTTAATTAAAAATTCTAAACCACACCAACACTTAAAATAAATCAAATGATGTCATTCATATACCAACTATGGTGAATAAATGGCATTGAACGAATTCAACAAAAATGGTGAATTTTTAGATGAAATATTAAATTAAAAAAAAAAAAAAAATGAAAAAAACTCATTAAATTTTTTTTATTAGTTATTAATGTATATTAATATGAATATTAATGTGAGCAACATGTAACATCAACAAATGCAGCAAATGTAATAACGGGAAAACAAAGCTTTCTAAAGCTTCTCCTAAAAAGCTTTCGCAAGTTTCTTATGAATGAATTGAAACTTACGTTAAACCCGTTTTTATATTTATATATTTAGAGTAACGTATAATATTTTGTCTCCTTCTGAACCCATTGCAGATAAAGCGGGAATCATTATTTCTCGTGATTGTCATTTTCAAATCGTAGGTCAAAGGGATGATATATGCTCCGTCTCCCATAGCCGCGACGTGCAAAGTTGTTATACTTGCACTGGAGATTTGTGTAATGCTTCATCGGCTGGCCGTTTAATGGCTTATGGAATGATGGCCATTTTGAGTTTGGTAGTGATAAATATTGCATTTTAAATTTGATTTGTATATATATTTTTTTTTTTTTTTTTTTATAAATTTTTGTATATTTTTTGTGTATTTGTGGTAGTGTTATTGTTAAAGAGAAATAAATTTCAAAAAGCGATTATATGGAGTTCAATGATTTTATTTATTTATTTTTTTAATTATTTCATTAAAATTGTATTTAAATCATTATTTTTCAATAATACACAATTACGAATATCTTATCGTAATTTGGCTGTGTTACACATATCTAACATTGTTGCTATGTAGCCATGCTTTTTTGTTTGGGCTGTAATGGACCGAAATCGAATAATCTCTTCCTATACGACGCGAATATCAATTATACATAACGATCTCGTCAAAATAATCTTATCTCCCAAAGCCATTGTTTTGACAGAATCGCTGTAATACAAAACGACGGTATTGATAGAGAAACGAGGCGGTAAAAGGTGCAGTCCCACTGAGACCAAATAGACGTAATAATAAACGTAATCGATAATGAGAGGCTAACAATCCAGCTCAAAAAAAGACCTCCTGATTAATAAAACCCAAGCCAACAATCCAACATAATAGAATGAAAATGAAAGATTTAAAGTGCGGGAAAATGGAATACAATCAAAAATGTTAAAAGGTAAATATAAAGTTGTTTTGAACCAAAAAAATCGATGAAATTTGATTTAAAGATTAATGCCTTTATATCTCTCGCAATACTTTATTTACTTTACTTTAGAACTTGCCTCAGTGATTTAACAACTCCAATCTTTTATCAGCTATATGTTGTCGTCTTATTGACACCGAATGTTGAAATCCTCCAATTTTTTCAAAATGTATTACACATTCATGCTATTCATTTGCAACATATTTTCGCCAAACAACCCAAAATATTATTTTTCAATTCAGCATTTCTAAGCTATATTAAACAGGAAAGATTTGGATTTATACGATTTTATAACGGCTCGCTTCTTCTTTCTTTTTAAAGGATAATAAAATTCACTCTTTCTCACCATTCGCAAAAGTGATTTTTAAATTAAAATTTAAACACTTTAATAAAGATTATTGGAGCTAATACTATTGGTAATAATACTATTCGATGGTCAAAAGTTCAAGGGTGAAAAACACTGCAGCAACTTCGAAGGAAGCAAGTAAAAAACAAGAAGCATGCAAGAGTTTGCGTTAGATACTTGTTGCCACTAAGTCGTTAGCCCTGGATTAAGAAGAAAAAAACGAAAAATATTTACCAGGATTATCTATAAGTCTTGTACCAAAATGGTGTCCGATTTGAAGGACGAACATACCTATTTTACTACTCCTTACATTGGTTTGCAACTCAACTTATTTGTAGTTGTAATAGTCATCAACAGGAGTTCCGTAAACTGTACGAACAATCCATGAAGATTAACGTCGAATTTTGACTTCATTTCCACACGTGTCCATGATACTATAAGACAGACGAAAGAGCAACACTAATTTAGAAGCTGTAAATTTATACAACGAATTACCTGACTAATCGCCAAATTGCAATTCAATTGTGTTGCGAAACGCTTCAAGTTGAAAAACTTCACCACAATTAAAACAATTAAAACAGTTTGCGTAATCCTCTAACATTGAGCGTACATGGAATATAATTTTCTTTCTTTTTTTTACTTTATTAAAAATATTTGGTTGTTATTAAAAATACAATATTAAAAATTTCGAGTCACACGTCATTTGATTAAAAGAAATGCAAAGAAAAGAAAAACAAAATTATAAAATATTTTGCTCACTTATCCTACATAATTAAATACATACGATGGACGGCAAAAAGACTTTTCACTTAAGCACTTTATAAAAATATGTATGTATATATGTATAAAACTTCAAATTAAATGCAATTCTATTCTAAATCTATGGAAATAAATTAAAGGCACTAAATTTTCAGCTCTTGCATTCAAAGTCTCAAAAACCAAGCCACCAACGCGCCTCCAATAGTGGATGTTACAATTGTTAGATGATAATTGGTAAAAATACCAGCGCCATTACATCCATCCTTACTGTTACAGGTACAGTATTCCATGAATATATTATAACTGCCAGTACGCATTAAACAGAAGCGTTCATCTCCTTCAATTCCCGGCTCACCCATATAGGCACAACTGCGAAAATAACGCCATTCACCATGAACCTTTTGCCTTATTTTGCGGCACATGGACGCCTTAACTCCAGGCAAATGTTTCAATTCCGGTTCGAGACTGCAATCTGTTATCACTAAAGTGCTATTGTCGAACGGATCAGCACATTTAGGGTCATTGTCTGAACGACATTCCCAGCATTTAATACTTTCAGCTAAACAATAACAGAAAGAAAAATGTTATTTTCCTTTTTGAAAGACGACCAAAAAAGGATCAAGGAATTCATTCATTCTTGATTGAAAGTGGACAAGGACTGCTCCAACCAATGTGCTCCTTACATAAATATGGCCTCAATAGATTTATAAAATATATGAATTCGTTTAAATTTGAATTTTCGAAGCAAAGTTATTGAAAAATTACGCAATGAACGCAACCAAGACTATTGAAACGGGATTTTTCTGAAAGCATACTTCACTTCTTACTTTCGAACTCTAATGAGTTTCTCAATGTTCAATTCCTTCAGCATAAGCAGTACGAATAATAATTTTAACTACTCTTCCGGGCCTTGTACGCTTCTCTTAGTTTTTTGAACCTATTGATTTTCGCAGTCGCGAAATTCTTATTTCAACATCAATTGCATGAATAATAATTTTAGTTAGACTTCCAAGCGTCTTACGCTAGTTTTCCCAGATCATTTAAACCCATTAAAGTATCGGTCAAATCTTAAGACAATCGCAGTCGTAAAATTGCTACTTCCTGCGGCGTCGATTGGATGAGCAATAGCTTTATTTTACTTGCCCGGACTCTTACGCCAATTACCCTCAGTTATTTAAATCTTTAGTTGTCTTTAAAATAATCCTTCAAATTTCAAAATAATCGCGAAATCATTGTCACTTCAAACAGAAATATTCCGTGAATGAAACAAAATATAGTCAACCAAGTGTGTTCTTTTGCTTACCTGTCTTAAAAAGAAATAGCGCCAGCAAAGCAAGTAATAAATTCTTTTCCAATTTCCGCATAGTAAAAGACGAAATTAATCAAATCGGTTATTAAAGCAGTATAAAGTTTTGTTATAAAAAAAAAAAAAACAAATAATAAACACAACAGCACCCGCCCTAAACAATGCGTTATTTTAATGTTTACAATATCGAGAAGAATTCATTTACTGATAATGTAAATGAAAATTAATATCGATATACAAGTGCTGCCAGATTCTGCGTTTAACAAACAAGAAGAAATCGATAAATTTTTAAGTTACACTACAACTTCCATCCCTATGACAATACTAAACAACAATTAAATGAGCAAATTAAAATGCACTTATTATAAATATTAAGTTTATTTTTGATTTTCATTTTTCATATAATAAATAAAAAGATTTATAATGCAAACCGAAGTATGTCGATTAATATTTATATTAGTTATAAGTGTGTGTGGTATGTAAAGAAGAAAAGCGTTCATTTGTAACCTGCTTAGGGTGTGGTCTCAGGATAAAATGTAATTAACTAAGAAAAATTGCAGGCTCGTTGGCTATACGTTGTTATCAGTGCTCATCCGATCAGGATCCTAAAGGGGTTGATAGTTGCGGCGCTTACAAACCTTTTAATAAAACCGAGCATATAGCTATTGAGTGTAATACAGACGAATCGGTCATGCCAGGATCATTTTGCATGAAGGTTGTGCAACAAGGACCAAGAGGTTTCATATGTAAGTTAAATTTTGGAAAAAGGAAGAAATGGTATTACATGTGTTAACATCTAATAGGGGATGGACGTTGGCGCCAAGTTATACGTCGTTGTGCATCTGTTGCTGACACCGGGGTAATTTATTATATTTTGTTTACCTTATTTATCATTAAAGCAAATGTTTCCCAAAATTTAGGTAACCGGAGTTTGTAATTGGGGGGTATATGAGAACGGTGTGTACTGGGAAGAATGTTATTGTGCTGGCGATAGTTGTAATAGCGCTAGAAGTGTAAATTTCAATAAAGCATATTGGCGTTTAGCTTTATTATTATTGCCAGCCCCATTTCTTTCAATAAGAAGATAAGAGAGGAGATGAACGCCGTAAATGTAATGTAATAATCCGTCCTTTTTACAAATATTTGTAATAATTCATGTTAATTTTTTAAGTGTAAAGACAAACCACGTTATTAAGAAAGCATTCCCTCATGTATTTATAATAATAATTTTAATTATTTAAGCTATTTTATATGTTTTTAATAATTTCGATATAAAAAAGGCAATAAAATAAATATACATGAAAATTTGTATAAATCTCAAGAAATCGTTAAAAATGTTACCTTTGCCACATTCGGATTTACATTAATCTGCAATTCAATATGGTTCGTTTTCTAAGTGCTCGCCTAAATAATGTGAAAATCGCTCCAATTATTTTGGACAGATAACTCCTAAGCATTTTTGTAAAAATTAAGCTCTTTTACATGCGCCACGTTGTTCTAAAATTTTTAAACCACCTTCCTCCCAGCCAGCCTCAGGATTATTTGTTACTGCTGCATATAGAAGAGTAGCGCCATCTGGTAATGATTTAACGGCAATATAAGATTTCCTTTCCCCTATCCATGTGCTAGTTTCGCTTAACTTTCCAGCCTTAGCCTTTTCGTCTGCACGGCAATACTAAAGGCAAAAACATGACCAGTATGAGAATGATTTTGATTAGACGTCACACTTACCCAAGCTTCGTAAACTTTTATCGGTTGATTTTGACTTGTCCAATGTATAATTTTTAAGCAATAGCGCATAAACCGATTGACATTACGTTTCACCTCCACAAGACGACTATCGTTAAGTCGTTCGACTTTACGTAGCAGCTCGGTGCACGATTCAAAGTCTTTAGGCCGCTTCAAGGTTTTCATAAGAACCTTCGCAAAACGCAAATAGTTCTCAAATTGCTCACTCAAAAAATCGATCTCGTCAGACTTGGCTTTGTCAACCTTAGGGTCTTCATCAGCCTTTGCTGGCGTAGGGGGCTTAGGTTTAACGACGTCGTCAGTTTCATCAGCCTTTGATGGCGGTTCCTCTGCCTTAGGTTCCTCAGGTTTTGCTACAATAGTGTCGTCCTGGCCAGCTTCAACCCCTTCTTTTCCGTTTTCTGAGTCTGCCATATTTGTGATTTATTGCTTTTTTTTAAATTGCTTTGCTTAGGAAAAAAAAAAACTTGAAAAACAAATTTCAAAGACCGGAAAATTATAGAAATTCAAATTTTTAAGTTGTCATGTAAATGTAGGATTGCCTTGCCGATAATAACTTGAATAAATATTTATCTAAGGCAAGGTTTCTGACATTTAGTCCCTACATACGTATCGTTTCTTATTCCATAATCAAAAATTATTTTTTATTTTATAGATATATATACGTATATATTCATATGTATTATTATTATTATTAACTTTGCCAGCGAAATAAATTCAAACACTGAAGTCTTGAAGCACCAGCATCTAATGCTAAAAATTCTACCGTATTTGATAATCTAATCTGTTTCATTAGCTGACTGAGAAAATGTTAATATGTGACGTTTTGCAAATTTTCACTTGCTTTTTTCAAGATTATATCATGATATTCATTCAAAGTGTTCCAACGTTTTAATCTGTCAAAGTCATCATGTAATCGTACAACAGCAGCAGCTCCTATTATCTTTACAAATTATCTAACTTTTCAGTCAAGATTTCTCTTTAGCTGTAAAAACTTTCTAAATGAGCCATATTTTTCAAATTGATCCAGAGTTTAAAGCCTTAAAGAAAAAGCTGTCAACTCCATAAAAAATTCACCTTTCGCGCTTAGCTCATACTGACAGTTTTATTGTGCATGTTTTTTTTTTTTTTTTTTTTAAGAAATCCCGATAAGCTTGTATATTCGGTATATTATCTCGATTGTTAATTGAATACTTTTTGAAGTAAATTATAAAAATCGAAGCAAGAGCGACAAAAGATATCTATTTCTAAATATAGGGACTGTGCGCTTCCGTAAAGCCCTAAAGCTAAATATCCAAGAATATATTGGAATAAATTAATTTTATTTTTATGGTAAAAGATTTGCACAAAATTCATTTCATAAAAACGTCATGAGCCGATAGCCTGTGTTGCTAGTGCTCAATGTATTTTTTTTAGTCTAAGAATTTATTTCATTAGTCTAAAATTAAAATAATAATAATAATAATAAAAACGTCGTATTCGTTGCAAGGTCATTAACAGCGTAATTATTAAAGCCTTGTTAGATTTTATTAGTGTTTTGCACTGATTTTTGCCGCCGGCGATAAATTCTAAAAAGATTACCGCTGGATCAGGCGCGGTCTTATGCACTGTCATACCTTTTAATACTAAGTGGAAAGCACAAATCCAAAGGCAAATATATAAAAATTTATTTGTTAAAAAGAGTTTGTAAAAAAGAGTCTTTGTTAACTTGGCAGATTTGATTAAAGAAGGATACAATTTTTTGAACTTGACTTGGAGAAATCGGAATGGGTGGCTAATTCTCTCAGTTAAATCTTTTCTTATCTTAATTGGGTGAAACTAGAAATCAAAAATGTAAGTAAGAAAGTATATGCTCTTCTAAATATTACACGCGCCCACCTTCAAATTACCTTAATTTTTTGGCGAAAGAATAAAAAAAAATCATGAAGAATTGAGTTCTTATAATGTGTCTCTGAAGAAAATTGCCGGCTTACCGGTTATAATGGTTTGCATGGACATGATAGTTAGCAAAACGCCGGATGTTGAAGAACTTCACGCAAAATTGAGAAACAGAGAATTGAGTTACCGTGGGTTTTTCAAAGTCGTGCGTGCTTCATCGGCTACTTTTCGCTCAATTTAAACGGATCGTTATGAGTTGTTTTAGAAGTTTTGAGAAGCTCGTAAAACTTGCATTCCAATTGTAAACATTATTTTGGAGATATGATTGTTTAATTCTTGGAGACGAGAGATTGTGGTGCTTGAGATTATCGTAATTGATTGCATTGCAAATCTCTAAGTTCTTCAGTAGCTAGAGCAGGGTCTTTTTTATGAAAGTATTAAGCAATATATCCCATAAAGGCAAGTTTAATGTCTTCAAATCCCGTAGTTTCCTAATCGCAAATATGCTGATCAAGCAACACTCCTTTTCAAGTCTGCAATATCTCCAATTCGCAAGAGTAGACGAGCAAGTAAGAATTGCGACTACCAAGTCAATGTCCGCCGGTTCGATACGGTGTAATTCACTTTGGTCATAGCGATAGTGAATTCTCAGTTGGTAAAGTTTTTACCTTTACGAATTGAATACATATCCCCCACGCTTTAGTTTCTTTATCTGTTCACTTTCTTCACTTCTTTATGACCATCGCCGTTTTACGGAAACGGAGAATATCCCCTAAGCGATTAGAAGTTTTGAGTTGTGCTAAAACCATCCGCCATGTACTCAGTTGAATGGTATACTTTCTTCCCTTACTTATTACTCATCAATTTTAAAAACGGACCAAACCTGTCCACAGTCAGGGTAGATAAGTATGCGAAAAAGGATTAATTTCAAATGTCTGCTGCGTTCACTTGAAAGCGCCGCTATTTACTTTAAAATGACTGTACGTTTCTTACCTTCGCGATGGCGGATAACCAAACTTCCATTGATGCGCACACAACCTTCGGAGTTATTTATTTTTTTTTTGTTGTTTTTCGTAATTACATCAAATTTATGTGTTTATTATAATTGTTTTTTTTCTTTTAGCTGACACAATATTCTTTAATGTGTTTTAGTCTAAACATAAAATATTAAATCATTTTAAAATGTTATTTATATCCGATCTTAAACATGCAATATCCTTTATATTGTTCTAATTGTAAATAAATATTTTATCAAAAAAAAATATTTCCAAAAAATTTAATAAGCTTAGTTTCTTACGGAAATCATTTAAAAAAAAAAAAAAATTAACTTTTCTTTTACTCAGAGCTCAACGAAGTGTAAAACATTGCTCATAGAAACGATTTCTTTTCGGGCAAATTAATATTAATCCGGCTAAGCATTCAATAGCATTCAGGGAAAAGTAAATTAAAAGAGAATCACATCAATTAATATTTTACACTAAAGTATAATTGCCTTTATCGGCGCATCCCATCAAATAGTTATAGGGTACTTTTATTCGAATACTCTTATTTGTTTTTTTTTTTTTTTTTTGTCACTACTACCTTTTATAATGTTATCGATAGTAGAAATATTGCATGAAAAGATAAGAGCATTACGGCGGTATCCGAACAAACGTCGGCACGACAAACTTGTGACGAAGAATGAAATGGCGCCCATATATATGCTTCCAATCATATCTACTTCCTCAAAGAACTTCAAAATACGCTTTATGTAAAGCCCATCCAGGAGAAACCCATGGCAAGATGCAATGGGTTTATTGGGACTTCTATCTTGACGTCTTGTGTCTTTTTCTTTTTCCCGAAAATTAAGAATAAAATATATGGAAAGCGCTTCACCAAGGCACAAGAAGCAGTTGAAGAATACAAAAGTAGAATTTTTCTAGCCGATGAAATGCAAAAATATTATATGATATGATTCCATAGAATAGATAAAAAGAATAAAAAAAAAGAATAAATAAAAAAATATTAAATTTGGAAAAATAATATTGGATGTAAGGCTTACAGCATTGTCTTCATAATATCCATTGTGAAGATATCCTGAATAGACTGAATAGTGCTGTAAGGCGTAGCTAAGATACAAAGTACCCTATAAATTAAACGAGACATTCACTTATGAACTTCTAATGGAAGCTCAACTATGATCCGTGTAGTCAAAACATATGACATTTTCTGAAAAGCATCTAGGCCGATAACAGATATACCGTTAATTCCAAAGGTATGCTAGTTTAGATTACCTGGTCATATGTTGACCTTCGAGATTCAGGAACAGTACTTTGAATTTTTCTATATACTCATGCGAATGTCTTCATATACAGTGTATATGTTTGTTAATTTTTGCTAGGAACATTGGTAGCGTGACGATTTGAACTACTCATATATTTACCCTTGTTCCTGTCACATTAGAATATTTGTCAAATAAAAAAGACACACAAAGAATCTAAAGGTTAACTTCAATTCCCTTCGGTAAGATCTTTTTCGAAGTGGAAGTGATTTCAAGTGGCGGATCAAGTTAATCAGCGTAAAGTTTTGTGAATAACAAAAACAATCGGTATAAACGTAAACAAAAATAATACAAATATTTTTTTCACGTGTGTAACAATTAATTTAACAACATTTAACAGCATTTCGTATGTTATTCCTTTCATTGGATCTAAGGTTTAGCTTTAAAAATAACAACAACTTATAAGTAAGTTGTCGTGTAATAATGTAAATAAGTCGAGTCGAAAAATATGCAATTTTTTCTCATAACCATTTAGACCACAATAGGTGAACGTATATCCAAAGTTTTACTATCAGTTAAAGTGGATGACAGTGAACACGAAGTATTATTATTATTATTTAGCTGACTTTCCATATCCATTTCTATAGCCAGAAGATTATCATTATTGAATGGTATTAAGGCTATCGAAGGGGCGCGATGTATTTCAACAATTTCGGTTAACGTCATAGCATCATCGTCCGAAATCGTTTGTGTTTGAAATTGAAACTGCGTGGAAGATCTTTTTAGCAGGAATTCTAAAGATGGCGAAGGCGTTTGAATAGCATACGTCGATGAAGATGAGGTGGGAGAATTTGTTGTTATATCTTCATAAATCGTAAGCATATCCGAATGTTCGCTGCCCGTTAGAGCAGTGGTGATGGTTTTTGTAGAACTTTGCGAAGAGTTAGGAACGTCATGCAATTCGGCCATGAGTTGCTCGAGACGGATATGAGCTATACTTGAATTATCATCATCACTATCGTCATCATCACTGCTTGCATTCAATGCGTAATACCAGCTATTGATATCATCTTCGGGTATAAATATTTCTTTGAATTGCTTAAATAATTCTTGGCCGTTGTCATCAAATACGTTATTATCACTATCGTGATCCGTGGTTGACCAAACATAATTTTTATACTTTGAGCAATCTTCTGCACTTCGTTGGCCTCGTCAAACCTTTTCCTTATTCAAGCGACATTTGGTGGGTGTTAAACTCGTTGGAAAACTTTAAAAGAATTGTTATTCATTGAGATGATGAAAAAAGCATAAATAAATTGATCGCCTACCCTTTAGAGGCGGAACCGCTAAGGGTTTCCTCAGTTTTGGAAGTTTGTGTTTGCGTTGAAGACATGTTACTTTTACTAAACGGTGCTTGGAAAGAAGTTGAGGTTATTGTAAAATAACCGCCCGGCTTAGGTTTTAAATGTCTATTATTGATCTGCATATGCACAGTCTTCATGAATTCAATTTGATGAGCCAATTTTTGAATTTGCTCCTGAAAGATTTTTTTTTGCGTATAAGTATCGCCGTTTTGCGTTTCTCTGTGACAAATATCCATTAGCTCACCTTTAACTCTTCATTTTCTTGATAGAGATCGGGAGATTCTTCGGGCACTAGGCCAACGCCATTTAATGAAAATGAGGCCGTTATACTGCGCACCTTAGCCTTTTGATCCCACTTGTCTCCTTGACCTTTAAAGACTCGCGAAATTTTTGGCCCAAATACTAAAGCTATGGTAGTGGTTGTCGACAATTGGGTTCGTACAAAACCTAAAGTATATTTAATATCAGGTCCAGCTTCCGGAAATATGAAGAGACTGAGAAGTGAAGAATATTTAATTTTCGCAAGATATTCGCAGCAGAGATATAAAAAATTCACTCACTGTATAATTGCCATTGTTATATTAACAATCGCTATATTATATATTGCATAAGATATTAAGCGGGCTTCATTGTATAACGATTCAGCATTGCGGACATTATAACAGACTCGTATGCCCCAGGCCAGAAAAAATACCTCACCGATAGCCAAACTATGATCCCACCAATTGTAAGAACATTGTCTAAATTTTAAACCATTCTGATCGTGTATCTAATGGGAGAAGAGTAAGACATTAATGATTGATGACAATAAAATAATGAGATAAAATTTTATCAAAACTTACAAATTCGGCAAAGGGAGTGTCGGATATTGTCCATGTACCCAAGTAAATAAGCATTACCAATAATATGGGCACCATCCATTGCAGCAACTGCTGATCAGTAAGCTTAACTTTATGAGCTGACTTAACCCGATACGTTAAAGATACACTAAAAAACTTTCAGTTAAATTTTGCATTAAATTCAAATTTTTTGAAAATTTACCGCCAAGTTTTCATTAGCAATGATGTGTAGGTTATGCAAAAGCCCATGTGACGTGTCCACTTGGTCACTATACACCAGCTTGTATCCAAAAACGGAAAAATTGCTACCATCTAATAAGCGTGTGAAGCAAAATGAAAAAAGAGTATTCAAGAGTCTAATCAATATTGCGTAGCGCTTGTTTATCTTGCGCCGGAATTTGCGATTGTTTAGTAAAGAAGAACAGGGATTTTAAGCCTTAGAGAAGTTGATTTTTGTGTCCCAGAGTGAAATTCTACACTTGAGGCACACTACCCGCAGAGTATAATATAATACACCACTGCGATGGTATTATCCCTAAAGTTAATATGTAAAAACCCATTTGCTGCAAACGGCCATGGGCAAGAAATCTTACGCCCCCCAATCATTTAAGCTAGTTTGATAGACTGCCAAGCCAAGAGTTATAAACAAAACAATACCTTCGTCTGGCATCGCTATGGCGATCGCAACGTATCTGTGCAGCTTGTCTAAGGCATTAGATGGACAGACAGGCAGACAAGATTAGATCATTATATTAAAAAAATTTCTAAGTTGTTGTGGGTGTTATATATATATAGACAAAAACTCATTATAACACTCTTCTACATGAGTTTAAAATCGCAAACCATCATTCCTCTGTTCAGAGCTAATAAAATTTCGTTGCATTGTTCCTCTAATAATGAAAGAAAGAAATATTTTCATGTTGACAACAAAAGAAGCAGCGCAGTGAATGTGCAAAAAGAAAATGAATAACAGAAGCAATATTAAGCGATTAACTTGACATTATAGACAATGTTCTGATAATCGCGAAGGTTCATATGAGTCAAATATATCGAAATTAATAAGCACCGAGATGCTGGGATATTGCACTGGCTTAAGCTGACATTTTTTAATTTCAAACGAAAAATCGTAATAAAATGTGTTTCTTTTCAGAGATTTTCTTATTAAAGTTATTTCAGTTTACGAAACGAGAAAATCTGAATTTACAAGAATTCAATTAATTGGTTTCGTTTAGATATAAATAACCTTCTGCGTAACAAGATAATTAAAAAACTTGCTTAGAGATTGATTGACAAGAAATTTTCTACAAAAGTACAAATCCCGCTTAAGTTTTGCAAAATACCTCTACAATGTTCATATATTTCAGTTAACTTACAAATGTACACTACTAAGCCATTTAGTGCAATGACGAGAAATTATTATTAATAAAAGTATGTTGAACATGGAAAGCATATTTAAAGACAAGTCATTTTTCAAATATGAGTAGATGAGCAGATGTACGAGGCATACATTTATCAATGTTTTGTCCCCTTCAAGGTAACCCCCTTAAATTTAACACACTTGTGCCAGGGCTTTTCCAATCACCGAAGTACTTCTTACATGAGCTTCTTGGTTTGACCTTGACATTTTCCAGCAATGCGGATTTTACCTTCTTCATCGTGCCAAAACTGCGTGCTTTCGTAGATCTATGCCACTTTGGCTAATGCTTGGTTGCGATGTTGTTTTTGATCAAAAAAATTGACAATAACTGCTATACGTTTCATGTTCAAAATATTCGAAAAAATTGCGTAGCAAGGGCCAACCAATATGCCGACATTTTCAGCGATAACGATGCGACAAAATATAATACAGACACAGTTCCATTTTTTTCAATAGGAAAAAGTCGCCAAGCCAACCAAAACACGTGCAACTTTTCTGTATTTCAAAAACAAACTAAAAATGCAAAACGGCTGACAACGTCAATATATTTTGGGGACATAAAAAAAAACGAAAATCGAATGGACTTAGTCCACGAAATTTGAAAAATCGTCCTCTTTTTGAACGCATCTTATACTCTTCACAGATACCATAAAGTATATAGAAAATACTGGTGAGAACAGGTTTCCAAAATGTAAATACAGGTTCCAAAGACTTCACCAGTCATACATGAGATCGGTGTAAAAAATATATCGTAAAAAATATGTGTATGTGTTAGTTAGCATTAATTAGCATTAGCGTGGTTGTCTGCCTAACAAAAAGACGACCGTGTCCTCAAAAACTTTTCTTCCGTTCAGAATTGAATACAAAAGTTGGCTGAAAATGTCCCAAGTTTCTCTCCCGTGCCATGCATACGGGACAGAATTGATATAAGGGTTTGTAACTTATGTTATCAAAAGTTTCGTGGCGCGATGCAGATTCCAGTGGTTTTGATTATAATATTGCGTACCGATAGTCTGGCGATATGCCCATAAAAGTAGTGATCATATTTTATCGAAAACTTTTTCTCATTTGAAAACAAATTAGTACCTAACACTAGACAACGTAGTATAACTAGAAGGAAAAATTTTTGCTTACCTCCAAGTACATGATCGCGCAACCAATCAAAGTGATTAATAAAAATATAGGACTGGCTACTTTGAATACTTTAACTTTGCGATGATGAAAAAGATAGCCGGCTAATAAAATCGTACCAATCGCACAGCCTATCGATATGGTTAGCAGCGATATTCTAGAATTGTAAACACATCAGTGTGTAAAATAATTATAGAATTATTTTTGAAAACTTACCTAAACGGCCAGTTGTAATCGGCTAAACAGGGTTCCGGACCGCTACAGGCATCACAACCTGGAGCGCATTTTAAGCACGTAAACACATCTGCATAATAATTGCTAATGTTATCCTGATGTTCCTTCCAGGCTATTTCCATTATAGTTCCATTAAAACCATCCGGATGACGTACCGAGTAATAGCCACGCTTGCATAAACACTGATAGGCGCCACGGGACCAAGTGTAAGGTGTAGATAAAATTTTACTAGTGGTTATTGTCGGTGATTCAGCTGTGGGGAGACGATAATCGCACTGAAAAAAAGAATTTTTTTTTTTTTTTTTGTTTTCAAAACCATATGTTCGTTATAATTAATCAAGAATACATGCATTGCAGTTCATCACTTACCATCATTGTTTGTCGATGACATTTATGGGATTTATGAAATGCTTGTATATCGTTAATGGCATCTATTGCTTGGGCATCTGCCAAATGTAAACGTCTCGATTGCATTTGCTGATAATTGAATCGGTAAACTGGTGCTTCGCATTGATTAACACGTAAACCAGTGACATCGATATCAATACTGATGAAACCACGTAAACCGTGGTGACGTCCGTTCGGTGGTATGGCAATGCTATACGATAATATCCATTTGCTTAGTGAGCACGAAAAATACGGAAACGTCCACCAGCCTTTATAGTAAATGTTCGGTGGGCTGGGCGCAAATTTCGGTGAACGTAGTGTAGGCGAAGTCGATTCATCGGCAAACCTTCAATTATCACAAAATTGTATTAAAAATGCAAATTTTCAATGAACTTAAGTTATTGTTAGTGTAGTTTTTGCTGCGCTCTATACAGAATCCGCGGTATGAATGGTGATTGTTTCTATTCGGTATGTAGTTTTTTCAAATGCATATAGTTATGTAAATGATGCAATTTTTTTGCTGGGCTAATAACAGCATTCTTGTCAATCTTGTCAAAAAAAAAAAAAATCCTTTTTGTTAGTATGTTTTATGAAAATGAAGTCAAGTCATTCTTTACGAATTTTGCATTGTTTTTTTTTTCGAATTCTCTACTTAAATTCTGTACCGAAGTGAAGATAACCTAGATTTTCTAGGCTTCTTGTCTTTGCTAAAAACGAGTTACTATATGAAAATTAAAAAATATTAGGAAACACGAAAATGTAAACAACACTAAGCCTTGAATTACGAACGCAAGAGCAAAAAAAAGAGAGACAAGTAATTGACACTAATTGTCACGCGTTATTACCGTGCATCTGCAGATTTGTAATAAAGGACAATTAGGCTTAAAGGGCCTGTTAGAAAAACTTAATTTCATTACTAATGCTTAGGATTTATCATCGCCAAATCTGCCTCAAATATGACAACGATTATCTAAGCACAACATTATCAGCCTTACCGCCGTGGAACTGAAACTAAAATAAAACTCAAACTTTTCCAGCACTAAGATTTATCATATTAAAGGCTTTTGAGAAGCGATCAAGTTGTCTTTACTATATTCAGGGTGGATGTCTTCCAAAACTTGAAGCATTACAATGTCACGGCCCACATTTATATTCTCATTGTTTTGGGTTAAGCAAACTTTTGTACTGTCAGTGTATCGTAATTTGATCAGCTACCCCGAACGACCTTACATAGAGCCGATAAAATACTAATGCTTCGAAAATCTTCTGGAGAAGAAGGTGAAGCCAGTTTTCTGAAAGAAACAGCCTAAACGAATTTCCAAATGTCGAAGAGGCATACTATCAGGCGAGTTTACTTAGAGAAGAAATATCTTAAGAACACTATCGCGACGTAGAACTTTCGACCTTGTACGTGGGGCAGCTTGCTACACTTTTTCGACGGAAAAATCTTTTAGATGACATTTTGTACATTAACGTATTTTGGCCCAAGAACGGTCGTTATTGGCAATGGTTAGGATCGGACCACTTTTTCGACTCACTTTGAAAAGTCGTCGTATGAATAACTGTAGGGTGCTGTAGGGTGCGCCACAACTCACTATATTGTTTTTGTTCATTTTTTTTCACTTTAAGTTTCTTAAATAAACAACTTTTCCCAAATAATATATATGTTTATTTTTTGTAGTTTGTAACAACTTAAACGTCTGTAACATCAGCAGACGGCAAACTTTCAGTACAACAATATATTACAGAAAACAGAAAAAAAAAAAAAGTAGTAAGAACATACAACAAAAAATCCTTAGTCTTTTTATTTTCCTTGAAAAGAACTGAAACACATTGCATGTGGATGAGTATGTGTAGCAGTCTGCCAGTGACTGTGTTTGCATTAGAGCATAAAGAAACTTACAATAAATTTAGTTATCAAATTCCAATTCTATAGAGCAAACCTTACTATTGTATTGTTTAATGTATCTGCCAAACACAGATAGAAAAATTGCTAATGATTTGCTAATATATAATAATGACAAGAACAAAGTATGCATTTGTATTCAGATAAAACATTTATAACTTTCACACAAACTCATTTAACTGCGGTTATCATGTGCAATAGTTTTCAAGATTTTCTTTTCTACTTTTCCTTTTCGTTTTATTATTTTTTTTTTTTCTTGCTACTTACCAAGGATACGTGGGTGAAGGTTTTTTGCCAATTTGTAAACCATCTTCTTCAAAACGTATCATTTCACCCATTTTCTCATGATTTTTCTTAATCCACCACACGTACGACTGCACAGAGCCATTCGTCAAATTTAAAGCTAAAATCCTTGCTCCTGTAGTATACTCATCGCTAAGGAGGCCTTTAGCTAAAGCATCTGATAAACCTGAGGTAAATATCCAAAAAAAACATTTCACAAAAAAATGTATTATAAATTGTCTTTCGTTTTGTTTTCATACCTCCATGACGTACTATGCCCACTTCTTGTAGAATGGAAGCCGCTAGATCTGCTTTCTGTCTTGAACTCTCATAACGTTCAGAATTGATGGGCACTTGCAATGGTCGATATAAAGTTGATATACAGAGAGTGCCCAAATTTTCTGTAGCAATATCATGTATGGTAACCAAGGATTGCTCAATGGCTTCCTGTTAATAAGCATAAATTTGTTTTGAAGGCATTAAAAAATGGTGCATATATATATATATATATATATATATTTTTTTTTTTTTTTTCATTAAAAGCTTTCTTAACATATCCCCGTTTGGAGCTTCGCCATTGCACTCCGCTTGTACTACACTTATTTACATATTTAGACATCTGCTATATCGCATGCGATACGAAAGTCTATTAACTTCCTGTGTGTGCATACAACAAACAGTACGACCTGACATAGGTCCCCCTTATATAACACTAATCTATTTGGATGCTTTTTCTGAGCTCATTTAATCCTACTTGTCAGCTTGATGAGTGCCAACGTATTTTTATGATCAACACAAAGGTCCTAAGTCATTAAATTTTTAAATCTTTTGATCATTTTTTAAACCGGGTTACCACAAACCAATCTTGTTGTGTACATATCGATAACGGTTTGATGGACTTGACTACTTTTTATATTACGATTATTTCTTCCTCAATTGTGGTATCCATCGCACTTATAAATAAGCTTTACTTGACTCATACTTTTTAACATTCAAAGTGTACGAAGGAAAATAAAAATTTTCTTTATTTTTCTTACTTTTTCATTAAGAAAATGAAATGACAAAAAAGCCACTGATGACAATAAAGTTGTCTGTAATCGTAATGGAACTGATTGTAAAGCAGAGCCTTCGTGCTTTTTTAAAAGTTTTCGTAACCATTTCTTAAACAAAAGAGAAAATTAGAATTGTATGGAAACACAACCACAAACCTTCGGTTTGTTTGCAGCTTTTATGTAACCTCAGGAACAATTTCACTGTGAATCACAAATGAAAGTTGGATAGGTAATTGAATGAATAGTCATGAGGTTATGTTGGAGGGGACCCAAAACGTCCAACGACGTGATTTAAATTTAATTTGCTTGTCAGATCTTATAGTTCCTAATCTCTTTTCGACATAATGTATTAAAAATTATACTTTGTTATAAGGACTTACGCTTTCTGAGAACTCGTATACGGAGTCAAGTCCACAAATTAAACATCTGTGGTTAAACTTTTGTGAAATTAATTTTTATGTCAAATTGCTATCTTGGATCCATTTAAACCATGAAATATTAAAAATTAGGCTCTTTATCCATAAAAGACTCATTTTTTGAAAAAGTATTATATAGAAGAATTTGAAAAAAAGTATGTTAGAGGGTCTAGGTTTGGTACAATCAATTTCTATGTCAAATTATGTAACAGTCTTCAGCACAAACTATTGAAAATTAGACTGTTTTGCAGTATAGAGACTTATATAACTTAGGCACGGTTACGCATTATGGGACAGAATTTAGAATATTAATCCATAGGATCCAAATTTTCCTCGTTTATTTAATCTATTAAGATACTCCTTGCTACCGATTTTTGTCGAAAAAGCGTTATATGTAACTGATCCGACTTAATCCATTTTCTATAGAGTTCGTCCTTGGACCAAGCTATGTTAGAGTGTCAAATTTCGTCAAAATAGCGACCTGCAGTTTGAACACAAATCTACTTGGACCGGGGGGGTAGATGGACGGCCGTCCTTAAATTGTTTCAGAAAATGAGTCTAGATTGAATGAATAATAAGAGCTGGGACTGTTTGAAGTCCTTCTGGCTGTCGCGTAAACGCCTATAAACTTAATATACCACAAATGGTGTAGGGTATTAAAATCGATCGCTATAATATTCCATCATTGGCCGCAAAACAAAACATGGATTTTGATAAGACTCGATTTAATTAATGTAAAGCATGGTAAGGTGAGACCTATATTATATGTGTGTATGCTTATTATTATTATTCTTATTATAATTAATATAGCATCTGAGGCATTTCAATAGCAGACGCAAAATTGTGCTCAAAGATATTAACGTCAAAAAACTCACATCGCATCAGCGTGTGTATCTGTGTGCTGGCAGTACCTCTGTCCTTCCAACCGTGGCTGGTATTCCCAAAAATCAATATAAACCAACCAGAGAATTTCTTAATATTTTTTTTAAAATGTGCTTGAGTTTGTGGAAATTCTAAATTCATTCTACATCGAGTATGTATTAAGGTATTCACATGCTCGGCACCTAAAGATGTGGAATTATAAATTTTCATCAAAAATACGAATCAGTTATTATAGTACATTGCCATCAACGTAGATATTCGTTGATTGTTGCTTTAACATTAATTGCTAAAGTTAATCTATGAAGTTGTACTTGCAGGTTGTTTTAATTTCTTATCCATTTTTGTTTCTTATTATATTTGCGAAGCCTCCTTATAGCTTAATCTGTGAACATTATACGTGGGTAATTTCTTAAAAACACAATTTGTCCTTGATCATCTTCTTATTACGATAAGCATTTATAGCATAATTAAATTCTTTCCTTAATAGTTGGCATAAAATAAAAAAATATCACAATTTCTATGAATGTCTTACAACCGTCAAGGTTTTGCTTGCAATCTACAAATATTTCCCTTAATATTTTGCTTGCCATCATCTGTGGAAAAGAATTCTTTTATTATTATTACGAACTTTTTCGTTTTATTCGTTTGCTATTTTTTTGTTATAGGCATAGGTATTATTGTGCGAACGGGTGCCGGAAATTGCCATATTTTCTGCTTTTTATACCGTTCATCGTTTCTGATAAGGATACATTAAGTTTGTGACGATGTATGCAACACACAAAAGGAGGATAGATGGCCTCGTCTTTTATTATGTCAATTAAATCGCTTTCTGTACCGATAGACTAAGTATGTCTGTCCGTCTGGCTCTCTAGCTTTTATATTGAATCCTATAAAATATTTTAAGATACATTGATGAAATTTTTTACACTCACACGTGTCTAACCAAAGAATGTGTATGTATGCTCGTCTGTATTGAAAACTCTACGGCATTTGATATTTGAAACCGCGGACATTGATTCGTTAATCGCAATCTCTCGGCGAATCATTTTACATAATCTTTCGATAAAAATGGGTCGGGAAACAGTATTTTTGATATATTAAAAAAAATTTGGAAAATTTAGTTCGAATGGGACCATTTTCGTGAGAATTCCTGCAATATGTGGCAAGACACCCTAATTTTCGATAATTGATGATGGAGAATATCGGTCTGACATATATATTTACTGTACAACCCTTGAATTACATAAATCTGTTCGTTGTGTCTCCCCCCATTATTTCCTATAATTTTTTATGTGGTAATGCATTTCTAGATTTTCGTATTTTATGACGAAAGTAAATGAAAATTTGCATTAAGCAAAGCGACGTAGGGTATTCAATGGTCGCTCTTGCCCTTCTATAAGGTTTTAACTCATTTTTTATTCAAAGTTCAAAAGAAAACTTACTCTGGTTATCACGCTGCCATCGCCAATTTTTACAATACTATTAAGGGAGGTAATGGAACTACTGCTGATGCTTCCCGCTGTTGCCGTTGTTATTGTTGTTGCCGATGAAGCAATTTCATTTGGCAAATAAGCTGTTGCATTTTCAACTAGCAGCGTAATTATCGCTGCTAATATCAAATGTGGCAACATATTTAAATAATAATAATGATGCCTCGAATAATAATGATTTCGATAAGTCGAACGATACTGATGATGATGATGTCGGCAATGATAAGGATTCACGCAACAGTTTCTTCTTTGATGATGCAATGTTGACTGTTGATCTTTGTTGATATACAACAACACTTGTTGATTTACTGATGATTTCATTGACGACTTTTTCATTACTTTTATTTTGATTTTTTTTATTATTATTTTCGTTATTGTGTTGTAAAAAGAGTCGTGCTTTGAATTTTCCCGCTAACTTGTTTTGTATTTGTTTCCGTTTGGAAAAATAATCGTTGATTTTCTTCGTTAAGCATTTGTAAGTCATATTGTTGACTAACGTTTAATATTGCAACTGCTTTTGCTGTCATTGTCGTTACGTTTTTGTGCACTTATGCCGAGATCTAGAGAAGAAAGTAAAGAACATTTAAACAAGCGATTAAAAGAAATTCATTTGTTTTTGTTTTCGTTTCTTTTTTTTTTTTTTTCTAGGGGAAATAAGCATGAGTGGGCGCAGTCGGATTAATTGCATACATAAAAAAAAAAAAGGAAGAAAAAACTCGAGAGAATAAAATTTATTGGGTGGAAACAAAGTGTTGAGTAAACATATTCTTTTAAATAAATGCCCCGGTTTGCAAAAACTGTACATTTTTAATTTTGCATTCACACGTTTTCATGCTTCGTTGCCGTTTATTTTCATATTTGTTAAGCTTTCATTCATTTACATTCCATAAGAGCACACACTTATTCTATGAGAAAACATTAAACCATATTTACTTTATTGATTGAAGAGGACTGAAATAACAATTTTTAGTGTCTTGAGCAAGATACGTTCTATCCGAACAACGTGTAATCGCGGTATTTGAATTCTTCAATTATTTGTTCCCATTGAATTCGAACTATATGACTCGACAAAGCGCAACCAAGAGAGTAAAAAAAGGAAATCATAGTTAAAGACATAAGTTTAGGTTTTCATCTTAAGGCCACATTGCCAATCTATTTTCAAAAAATACATTCTGTTGGAAACTTAGAGGGAAATATAAATATAAAACAAAGACCATGCATTTTTACGACGTTCTATTAACAAATATCGAGAAGAGTTGCTTTTAATATTTGGTTTAAAGTAAATTTTGCAAAAACAGTTTCTGATCTGAGAAATAATAACGAAATGCATCTTTCCGCGTCCACTTGACTTTTCTTTGTGAGCACTTAAAATCGTCCCTTATGGGCTAAGTTACTTTCAAGTTAGCGAGAAATAGTACGAAGGTAGGGTTAAGCGGACTTGATAAAAGAGGAGATTTGGGCATCTCAGCCGGAACTGCTGACTGACATGATTGGCGACGCAAACCTTTAAGCAAACTTATCTAAGTCAGTTCGCGCTTTCTACTTTGGGTTCCTCTTCTTGCACAACTAGACATAACGCTATGTTTTAGTTAAGTCACCGTCGAGAACAGTCGAAGATGACAAAGTGTGTGATGAAATAACGCTGCGACAAGAGACACGAAGTCTGAGTAGGTGAAACTAATTTGAAAATAATTTGAGTTCTGGGAAAAGCAAAAAGTTATAAGGATTATATCAGACGTTACGGCAATAGGCCGATGACATTAATCTAATATTATATATGACGGGCTCTAATAGACTATAGCAGAGTGAACAAATTGCAGTTCGTTGAATGAAGATAGTCTACGATAGCACACACTTTTACCGCGATTGTTTTGATTGTTTTTGATGTTTTGTTTTTGTTAATAACTCTTATAGCTGAGCAAATAAGTAAGAAAATTATGTTCGTCTATGCCAAACCATTTATATCCATCGCTTTTATTTGAAGAAAGAATTAGGTAAACTGTCAAGGCCTTACGTTAATTTTGGCCGGCGACTTCTACAAGTATACGTGATCAATAGAAATGATACCAGGCTGCATAACGGTTAAATTCGATGATTTTGACATTTCTCTGCATAATATAAGAATTTTCCATTTAGTATAATTGATTTATTCAGCGTATGCTGGCGCTAATCATTCATTTCAACTCCCATTACTTTTGTTATTTATTTTGAATAAATTTCCTGCTAAAGACCATCATATGCATTCAGAAGCTAATGGCGATGCTGCTCCACTATATATCCCAATTGTCGGTTTTAGTTTTAAAGGTCTAAAAGTGGTGACACGAATTGACTGAAAATGCCGCTATTTGGCCGCATGTTGCAAGAGTTATCAAGGATGCACTGTTGCAGCTCGAATGTGAAGTTCTGAGGACTACGAAAATGGGTCAATGATTGGATCGCTGGCGTCGTCGTGTGTTCTGAATGATCCATCTGTCACTTTGAATGCAAACCGGTTTGCCAAATCTTCTCTAATGTTGTCCTCAATTTGACCCTGTTTACCTTAGGCAAACACACAGACGGGTCCCCAAATCTAGATCGATTCAGGATTTCCGTTGTAGTGTTTCTGAAGCTTTTTTCTAGGTATTGCAAAGCTTGCAAACCGAGTTTAACAAAACTCGAAAGAATAAAACGATTATAACTTTTTTCACTAACTTTAAAAATAATACACAACTTTTATATTGAATCAAGTGTCTATGAAAATTGCAATTAATGGATTCATTCACGTCATTTAATTTTTATCGTATTATGTTTAGTAAGTAAAGCAAAAAAGGAATCATCAACGCATCACCATAAGTTCAAGTTAATAAACTGTGAAACAAAGAGCAAGGACAGGGAAAGTTCTGCCGGTCAAGGTGAGCAGATAGAAGGCGAAGTCTTATTATTTAACAGGGCCCTCGCTACTGTTTCATATACTCTTCTTCACGTAGTCGCGAAGGGCAGAGTGAACATACCGCAGTTGATAAAATGCATTGCAATTCCTAAGAGTTCCAAAAAACAGATTTCAATCCCAAAGAAGATCGTCGTCGATCCGCGTGATATTGACAATACTATTTATTGTGCGATGCAAAAGAACTCGGCATTCAACATTCGACTGCTGATAAAGCGAATATTTTTTCCTCCGTCCAGTGATGGTTATAAAAATAAAAAAAAATTTTTATAACATTGCGCTCAACTAAACTAACTAAATCACTTTAAGCAGATAGATAAACTCAACTGGTAGTGTAAGTTTAAAACCAAACAAGCGAAGGTTATTGCCAACACTACCACTTTTAAACAACTTTTCTACTCAGTCGTCAACAATATACGACACCTACAAAACATTACGCTTTGTAATCTTGTAGAGCTTACTTATATCTGTATATGTGTACATTATCATTCTAACTACATTATGTATTATATATGTATGGGCAATTGACTTCATGGAAAGTCTTACTCTACTTGTATTTATTTACTTATTCATGACGCTTCAAATAATGATATATGTTTTGATACCTCGAATAACATAATACGTATACAAATACATTATTATAATACAATAACAATAAAGTCCTTTTCTCTCTATGGATAAATTCTTTCTCGTCTAACGCTTTGAAAGGTGAGAAGGAAGAAAGCGGAAAATGAAAGTCAAAGTTCTTGGGTTTATACAATCATTGATTGATTTCAGCACAGAGAATATCTCGATATTTTATGGCAAAAGTAGAAAAGGAAAAGGAAAGCAAAAATATATTAAAGTCATAAATTACGAGAAATTGCTTACGGGTGTTAATAAATTCTCGCGCGCAATGATAATAAATATCAATAACTAGAGATAGAAAAACACGTACAGAAAACATTAAACTAAATTCTCAAATTAAACTTTTTTTTTATTTTTAAACACTCTATGGGAAAGATTTTTTATAAATAATATTTATTTAACTTTATCACTGTACTTTTATGGGTTAACAAAAACACTTTCTATTCCCTATGTGAGGATGAAAATTACTCTTTTCATATAAACGTGTACAAATATATACCAAAGCAGAACACGTAAAAGCCAATTTAGTAAAGTCTCTGGGTTTTGTTAGGGTTATTTATATACAATACATACACATATATATATATATATATATATATATATATATGAATGGATATGGGTCACATTACTTCCTTGTCGATTAACAAGTATAAACAAAAATTTAATGACAGTGTGCAGAGTAGGTGGTGCTGTCGCTTGGCTTTCATGCTTAGTCTGTGATGAACAAATGAAATTTTTAGTAAACTTTCAAGTTTTTGCGTTCTTCTTCTCAACGTTAAATAAACAAATATGATATATATGAACGTTCAAGGGTTTATTGTTTTCCTTTTAATAAACCCGCCTAAATTGATATACAGAGAAATACAAAATGGCCATAAATGTCTCGAATAAAATGAAATGTTTCGTGCTGAGGTATACTTAACTATAGAGCAATCATCACTTGAGAGAGAAGATTATATATAAATGGCTTGTTAGTTTTTAAATCTGTATTTGACGTCTTATTTTTTAACTTTGTACGCATAGAAGAAAAGACGTGACATTTTTTATTTCACTTTCAAATCAACATGCAATTTTCTTTATAAAAAACGGTCGCTTAGCTTTTGAAATCATTTAAGAAAAAAGAAAATCGCATTTAAACTTGAAGAAAATACTTTTTTTCTTTTATTTATTGCTAATAGAATTCAACGAATTTGTTTATAAAAAGAATTTTGCTAAATATTAAGAAAAAACTTTCTTAAACCATAATACAGGTGATTGTCCGTAATTTTGGTTTTCATAAACACAAAACAAGTGATAACACTATGATGGGGCACAGTCCATTATTACATACCCTATACCACCTCGCTTAAATAAGGCATTATATGGGATGTGGTCGAAAATTCGATGCGATCCGAACTATTTTCAATAGCGTTTATTCCCGGGCCAAAGCACAGCAGTGTACCAAATCTCATTAAGACATACTTGGTACAAGTTTACAAAAGTATACAATATACAAATGCACAAGAACACATGCGTAGACATCAGGCGGGCAGATAAGCTCAGATTGATTCGAAAAGTGATTCTCAATCAATCGCTATAGTAAAACGATCTATCTTAAGTCCTTTTGCTCGTTAATATATCCTTGTACCACAATTGGAGTAGGGCACAAAGACCACTACATGCCACTATAGTAAGTATTATATTATTTTCAAGCAATTTGTCGGACATTTTTAGGAAATAAGGAAAAAGTTCACGGGTAAATGACGCAAAATTATCAACAAATTCACTTATTTCACGATCCTTTATTTTGATTGAAACGACAAAGTGTGGACCTTACCTTGAAGACACTCTGTCAAAATGAAGGGGAAATGAGGAGGGCTTGCTTGGTTTTGCTTTGGCAGTTTCGTTGTTAAGGCCGCGTCGCCCTCTAGTCGAGTAATTGTTAGCCAAATAAATGAAATTTTTTGAAAAAGTCATGTCTGATTGGTTCCACTCTCTACTGTCAGCAACTAACATAAATACGTAGAG